CATCCCGCAGCTCGGTCTGGCGCGCTGTTCCCTGCCAATACAAGCTGAGAGATAGGCTGAGGTCAGTTCTTATCGGCTGGTTGTTTCTGGCCAATAGGAGCTGAGGATTGGGCTGGGGGTGGGGACACTGCATGAAGCCCCCCCTGCCTGCAGAGCAGAGAGCAGCAGGGACTGGGTTTTAAACTGCAGCAGCTGCATGCCTGAAGGCCCCGGCAGGGGGGTCCGCGGGCAGATCCAGTGGCTTGGGGGGGCTGGATCTGGCCCGTGTTTTGCCCAGCCCTGAGCTATACCCATCTCTACCGATAGGCCAGGCAGGAGGAGGAGCCCGCCCAGTCTGAGGGCAAGTCGGTCATAACTCAGGTTGGGTCCCAGTACTTCTAGCTCTTCCTGTTTACTCCCCCTACTCCTTGGACGTGCGGACAGTCATCTAAGATGTGGAACAAATCCCCCCCGACTCCCTCGTTTCCTCTACTACACGACTGCCATTCTCCATGTGCCTTGCCACAGCCAGCCTCCTGCGGAGGTCCCCTCGCTCATACTCACCTGCGGGCCGGTCGTAACGCCCTCCCCACCCCCGGCAGGCTGGCGAGCACAGAGCAGGCCAAGCTGGCCAGGGGCTGTACCTGGGACTGTCGCACAAAGATGCCGTGGTTCTCCTCGCAGGTGAAGTACTTCCTGCCTTGCACACTTCCATCGTTCTTGCCCTTTGCTTCATCCAGGATGACTCCGACCCACTTTCCTGTGGCGAACAGAGTGGCACCGACGTAGGCCACGGTCCCACGGTGTCCCTTCCCGATGACTTCCACTCGGGAGCCCACTTTCAAGGGCTTGCCGCTGGCTTCCACACTCATCCTGGCTCCGGTGCTTGACACCTAGAGGAACAGCAGGAAAAGAAGTGAACATCTCCAGCTACCCTCAACTGCATTGTCCTCACTGGGGAGGAGACTGAGATCTCCTCCTTCGGCTGGAAAGCAGCACTGTCGGCCATGGCCTCTGCGAGGACACCGCCTCTCCCGCGTGGGGGTTTGCCTCCAGTCAGATGAGACAGTGGAAAAGGGTTTAAGTGAAGCAGATGACTGATCAAAACAGCCGTTGCTACAATTCATTATCTTCAGGAGCAATCATCATATAAGCCAGGCATGTCCAAAGTCCGGCCCGCGGGCCAATTGCGGCCCGTGTTCCGGTTTAATACGGCCCCACAGGTAATTTGGCAATATCTATCTTTTATGGCCCCCAACGAATCCATATGTATTGAGATGAATACATTGTAAAATCTCAGTTAGTCAGTTGGTCTAAATCAGTTATAAATGTATTTGGACACAACATGTATACTTGGTGTTATGTTCCTGTTCATATTTTTTGAACTTAAAAGTTGACGGACAACCTTTATTACCAATAATATGTAATGTACTTTACAATGTTCCTGACATATATTTCAGCTTCCTGGATTTTTTTTTCGTTTGGGCTTCAGATATGAAAGGCAGAGTGATTTAACACCTGTTTAGATTTGTCATCCATGTGACGAAATGAAAAGCATGCCGTTTGCAATAAACTTTGCATAAAATAGTTAATTTGCATTTAATTTTAATGGTTCAAAGAATGTCAGGCAAAATGGTCGGCCCTCATGCATGTTCACTTCATCAAATCTGGCCCTCTTTGAAAAAAGTTTGGACACCCCTGATATAAGCCCATACACCTTGGGGCGGCCACCCGTGTGAAACACCACGTACACCCCGTTAGCTAGCGGTCACTGCTCCTCCTGGGTTTCAACGCGCGCACTAAGCACAGCTGATATTTCTGGAAGAGCCACGCAGCTTTGAGAAAGTGTGACTCATCTGCAGCATCCCTGGCCTCTCCTGCTAGAGGCTAGGGATGCTCCTATAGCCAGTGGTCCCTCTAAGCTTTTCCAGCCACGTGTGGATTTTTCCATCCATGTGCAGAATAATTTTTTCTATGTGCACCTAGGCATGTGCCAATGTGCACCACCAGCAAAACAAAAACCTAGCTGAGGGCACTCTGCTAATCAGCGGGGCAGCATCTGTATCTCTCCTGAGTGGCCACACCAGTGAACAGCTTACAGGGAACAGTGCTCATAACACAGATACTATAAACATGGCAACAATATTCCAAATCAGGCAGGAGTCGAGTAGTCACGCGACTAGTCGCTTCACCCCCACCCCCCTTGCAGCCTCTATCACAGAGAAGCAGCAAGCGGGGGGAGCAGGAGCCAGTGCTGAGGGAGCCGGGTTAATAGCCGCTTCCCCCCAGCCCCGTCTGCGTGGGACATCCCTGCCGCTGCGCCTCTCCCTCTGAAACGTACACGACACACCG